CAGTTGAAGCCAGGGTGTTAAACTGAAGCAGGATTCTCCAGATGATAAGCGAGATCAAATGGAGAAGAATTCCTAGATAAGCATCTGTCACATGTTCTTGCACAATGAATCTGTAGCCATTTTCTCTAGGAGAATATTTTGCAAGAGATGTAAATTCAGAATGCACAATACTCATATTTAGCCATCATTCCCTAAAAATTAAAGTTTTCCTTGCGTTTGCAGTCTCCTGTATCTCTAGGAGGAGGTTATAACAGCTCAGCACTAATTTGGGTGTAATCACTTACAGAAAATGTTATTGTTTCATCTTGAGACAGCGTGATCTAGCGATGTGCGCCAAGAACTGGCAGTTGAGCTTCCTGGCTTCTGCATGTGACCTTGACCAATAATTCTGTAAGCGTCCCTGGCTGTAAAGTGAAGATAGCACCTCCTTCACAGAATTAACACTTTCAAAATGTTTGGATCAACATCTATTTTAAATCTGATGCTATGAAATATTTATTTTGAAGTCTTTCGTTACCTGGGCTGTGTAGTCATAAAGTACTCTGTAGTCCTGTGATGATGTGATTCCAGCTTGTTCATTTACAAAAATCGGTGCATAGACTCGGTCTGTTTCCTCTGCTGGGGGTGGGGGAAAACAAAACAAAAAAACCCACACAGAAACAAAGAGTTCAGTTGCTTATAAATGCATGGGATCATATGCAAGAGTTCACAAATACAAGGGTTTCTGTTCTCTCTCTGTCTGGAGATGTACATGTATAGAAAAGCTGCTGTGAACTGTAGGTAAAGTCTTGCACAAAAACTGTGTCCCATTGATGAGATGACAATACACCCATTGAACTTTGTGGGAGGTCAGAAACTAGCTTTAGCCTCGTCCAGGTTGGGAAAAAATGTTTACCCTGCTAAAGCACAATCCAAATTGTCCAGAGGGAAATGCTGTGATTAAACTGGTTTAAAATGGTTGCTACTGGTGGTATAAAATTCTAGCAGTTCAGGCACTCACATAGGGCTTTTCTTTTTCCCTTGAGAAAAATGACAAATACTGTGCTGATGGGTCACCAGACAGTTTCCAGTAGTTTCCATAGTTCCCAGATAGCTATTTGTGCTATTTGTCCCTGACGTAACTTTTTTGGAAGATGTTGCTTTAATCCAGTTTGTCATAATTAAGGAAATCTCTTACTCCTTCCCAGCATCTGCCTGGGAGCTTCCGCTGCTGTTGAGGTGAGCAGAGGTTTGCCACATATGACTGACTCCTCGGTGGGGACAACAAAACCTGTGTCCTGCCCTAAGGAGCATTGTGGCTCCCTGACTTTTCAGTTTTTGATAGACAAGCATGGGAGCAGTCAAAAAAGCTGAAGGCAGAGAGCGTTTGCCGTTCCTGCGGGTGTTGTCCAGGGAATGCTCTCCTCTCCTGTCCCCAGCCCATGGAAGTTCAGGAGGAGTGACTACCCTCAACTGCGCAACACTGCATTGCTGTACATGTGCCGGAGCCCAAGCTGGAGCCTGGTAGGTCCAGCTTCCTGCATAGTCAAAATACTCTTTTAAATGTTGTCTGATAAATGCCTAGTTGCAAGGGTTACAACAAGACAGTGTAACTGGGAAACGAGATGGATATTTGCATTTATAAGGCATGAACCTCATCTGTTTCAAAACTGTAGGTATTCCCTTGGGCTTTTTAGAGGTAGTGTATTCCACCTTGGGAGAAAAATATTATCTATGTTGGACTGTGTTGTTCTGAATGTACAGTTCCCCCTTGCCTAGACAGAGGTTTTGAAGATTATATGGGTTATTTGGCACTGGGAAATTTGTTTAATACCCATCCAAGCCAGACTACTCTTACTCTTGACTGCCAACATGTGAATATCTGCTGTACCATTTCTGCTCCGTGTCAAAGCTTGATTTAGCAATGTAATCTAAACCAAACACATCTGGTAAACTTATTTCCCAAAGAGGCATACCAAGGGGAGGAGCTGAAGGAGTGACACTTTCCATGTTGTTTTTGCTGCTTCCATGCAGTAATCCAGAGAATCTGCAGAACCAAGAGAAGCCAATGACAAAATGAGTGAACAGGACTGGGTATGAGCATTCCTTCGTCTCAGCTGTCTGACTCAACCTTCCCTCCATCTGCTGCAGCACTGTCGCCTCTTCCTGTGGCTGTCTGTTTTCATTTATGCTGTAGATATATTTATCTTCAGTTAAAAATCTATTTTTAAAAATGCAGCAGAATACTGAACCATCAGCCATCACTAAATTGTGCATAAAATGCATCAGGTAGTATTTTGTTGTTGATCCAAGGACTCATGGTGCAAAACTCCAATTATTTCACAATATTACTATGATGAGAATTATCGGTTGTTTGTAAGAGATTACCATCCCTTTGTCTTTAAGGAAAGCTCTGATACAATTTAAAACACAAAGCTTGTATAATGAGCCTCTCTAAAAACTGTGAGTTTAAGTGAATTTTTGGGTTTCTTATTTAAATCTATGCCTGGTTATTTTCTATATCATAGCTGGATACTGGAGACTAAGTAAAGTGAGAATATGGGTTAGGATTCTGAAGCACAGACAGAAATAGCATTGCATGCTTAAGGCATATTTAAAGGGTCTGATTTTTTCAGCTGGTGAATGCTCCGCGTTTCTGGACAATGGATATCCAAACTCGACAGTTTCTGAAAAACTCAGACAGTGTCTCTAGGCTGCTTGCCCATGCAGACCATGGTTGTATTCTAAATTCTACAGTTGTCTTCTGTAACTGTATAGGATGCAGCATCAGAATTCATTATTATAGAAAATCTGGTTTCCAACTGAAAAACAAAGTATTGTGTATAAACCTTATCAGCTCACTAACAAGCCTGGACCACATTTTAAATGGGAGATCGCAGCCTGCTCCTTGTTTTTGCCATGTAATAAGGCTTGTCAAAATATAAAGCTCTTCTGCGTTAAATATGATGCCATTCCCACTGTGAAATAGACATTTAAGTATGAAATATTTAAACCAATAGATCTACCGTGCTCTTCTGCTGATATAACTGCATCCATGCTGCAGCATTTACCAGCATAAATAGATCAGAAAAAGAAAAATCGCCTCCGTAATCATCACAGTGATTCCGCTAAGTGTTTTTTCCTTTGGTCTAGATACAGAGAGCAGCTCTTTGTTCCGCTCAGCTGGGCGGTGCAGTAAGCCAGGAGGTATTGCTGAAATGAGAGACAGCTCTCCCCAGCCTTTGCTCCCAGCTAGATTCACCTTTGCCCTCCCTTGAACAAAGGGGGTTTTGTCACTATGCGCCATGACTCACTAGGAAAGAGGAAATAAGTGAATGCTATCCATTGCTGGCCAACTAATTGTTTTATGAACTTGTCCCCTGTCTCTCTTCCCACTAGACCATGGCAAAATTACTCTGACCCTGGTTTTAATAGGTTTACTTCTTCTGTCAAGTTATATTTATCGATCTGTAGCTGCCTTTTGCTACAGTGAAGGAAGTAATAACTTTCCAGGTCCTGTTTCCTGTCATCATACATTGCCGTTCATACGGAGAAATACCTGTACTGGTACCTGGGAACCAAAGTTTGTCACTCACCTCTTCATCATTCCACAAGACTGGGTTGGGCTGCTGTTGTTTCTGTTTGGTTCTCTGCTGTAGTAGTTCTCATATCCTATTGCATCTGCAACAGGGCAATCAAAATGAGGTGTTCAAACAGGTGAAACCTTTTTCTCCCCTACCAGAATTCAACCATCAGGGGCTGCTGGAGCACGCTGCAATACAGCCCCTGTCTGCATTTGCCTGAGATGTGGCTGGAACAGCTCAGGGGGACCTGGGAGCTTGACAAAAGCCATTCAAGTGATTGTAAGCAGATATGTCCTTGGTACAAAGGCATGCTTGACCTGAGACAAGCATAGTCAAGGTCCTGAAGAACTATTCTAATAGCTGTGGCTAGCCCTAATTAAGAAGGCGGTTTCCTCCATGACTGTTTCCTCTGTTGCCTTAAAGCTCAGGATTTAAGGAAGCAGAGCATGGTCATTATGAGCCTGGGACCATGCTCATGATACAATTGGCTGCAGTGTGTTTTGTTTCTTTTTTTCTTAATGGATTGAGCCAGGAATTTTTGTCGGAGCTGGGGATGTTTTTGAACATTATTGCCAGCAGCAATAATGAGCAATTTCCCGGTCTGTGCTTGTGCTTGAGTGTCTCCCTACCTTTCATATCTCCCCCATCCACCTCCTGAGAACTGATTTGCTGTTTACCCAGAGATACTTGGTTTTTGTTCTCTCAAACACAGTTATATTACAGTTTCTTCACTCTCCCCTATGGTGTCGTTAAGGGTGAAACTGAGACCATTTCCAAGTCTAGCTTTACAGATGAAATAGTTACAGATGGATTTATTTATTTTTCATCTTGTAGCTCCCAGTGTAGTTGCTTAGAGCTCGTGGCCACACACCCTTTCTGCCTTCGCTGTGTTAAAGCCAAACAAAAATGAGTGAAGTCTGGGATACCGTATTATCTCAGTTCTGATACCAGCAAATTAAGAAAGACATTGGACTTGGGCTAAAGGTTGTGTTGACATTCCCGCATTGGGTCAGCCAAGATCATAAGCAGAGCAGGCATGTTCATCTAGTGAGTGTGAAGAATACTGACAAAGAAGATTTTCAGTAATTAGGGACTTTTCTGTCCAAGGGTTTCCTATTACCTTTCTAGACTGTCACCTTGGTATAGTTTCTAGTCTATAATGCATTGTAAGATTAGGTAGAAGAGGGGAGTGGGCAATAGCATCAAGAAACCAAAAGGTTTGGTCAGGATGATGGTCTCCTGCTACACAATGCAAAACCACACGTGGGTTTCTTCCTGCATTTTGCAAATAATAAAACAAATCAACAGCTCACCATGTGCTACTGTGCAAACTCATTAGCCAGAGCTGTGGAGGTACTGGGATGTTACTTCCAGAACATATCACCGTTTAGAAGGTGGCAAAAAAACCCCAACAAAAAAGCAAGTCGGTGGTTTCTTTGCCTTTCATAAAGTTCTCAAGTGTTTTTCCCACCTATTTCTTATTAGAAATGAGTCCTGACATAGCCAAGAGCTGTTTGCAGAAAATTGCCTAGGCGACTGGAGAATGAGAAATCTCACATAGAAAAAAAAAAAAAAAAAAACAACCAACAGCCAAACCTCTAGCTGCAAATTACAAATTTCTTGGTATACAGAAGTTGTTTCACACTGTTGCAAGGCACAGTTCTCCCTTCTGCCAGTGAAGATGTAGTTTGTTCTTGGTAAATGCTCCTATGTCAGTGAAATTAAATCCCCTACGTGAAGAATAAACTATAGCAGCAAAATGGCATCCAGTGCACCAGTATCAATCCATTTGTTTAAAAAAAAAATCCCCAAATCCCAATTCTTAATCACATAGGTGTAATGACAGAAAAGCTGAGTGAAAAACACGCCCCAGATAGCTCAGTGCTGAGTTAGTGGCAGCATCCAGCTCTGCTGAAGAAGTTCCTAGGGTGTAATTGCTGCCAGCTCTGAGCTCCGCAATGAAATCAAAGCGGTGTAAGCTGTTGCTGTATGAGATAATTATCCCTCGGGACAGGGCGTTCATAATGCTGATGGTTGTACCTGTACAACTCCTAGCATGGAAGGTTTTTATCAGTATAAAATTTCCTTATGCCAGTATGGCTTATTCCCTGTTCTGAATGGAAGTAAGCTCTATCAATACTGCTGAGGGCATACTAAGGGGATTTTCTCTTTGACGTAGCAGTATGGTGTTAGAGCAGATAGTGGAAGTGAAACAGTACCTGTGCACAGATTTTAAAAAAATAAAATAAAATTGGAGGAAGAGGTCTTTTCAGCATCTCTTCATCAGCTAATGAAGAGATGAAATAGGGACTTTTTTTTTTCCCAAGTGCTATGAATCTTTGTTTACTGCAGCAGCTGCACAGAAGTGCAAGCATTCACTCAGTCCATAAAAACCTTGTATTGCTTGTTGAAGTAAGAGGGTGTGGTTTGTGTTTGGCCATTTGAAATCCTTCCTGGTGATGTTTTTGGAGAACTCCTACCCCGGAGCAGTATGTTTTCATTTTACAACTGCTCTTAGCTCTTGCTGTCCCAGTCTCCGTTTCAGCCCAGAGGTTCTGATGACTGAAGTCATTGACAAGGCTCCTTTGGCTTGAATGGGCAGAGTCTGTGAACCTTACATTGCTTCTGCAAGCTGGAGAAAAGCCAATTTCATTCAAAATGTCCCCCAACTAGGGTCTTGCCCTTATACAAACAACTTCCTGAGAGGACAAAAGACGTTATTCCCTATTGGGCAGGTGGAACAAAACAGAATGCGGAGTCTGGTCTTCTCTGTACTGCAAATGAAGAGGCAGCATCTCTGTCAAGGGGCCACCAGGGTGCAGTTACATGATAAGTTGGCTCTGACTTGTCACCACTGCAGGAAATTGAGGTTGCCATCTCTGCAAGGCAGTTTGCCACCTCCTTAGTGATGCCAGTTCAGCTGTACTGTGAAATGAGCCTGGTTGAAAAAACAAAACAACTTTCTCTTTTGTTGTTTGGGTTGGGTTTTGGGGGTTTTTTTTGGAGGGCTATTTTTAACCTGGGTCATTCGGCTGTCCCACTTCCAATGCCACACAAGGAGCGATGGCAGCACAGTGAGGGGAAGTGAGCCATGGCTGGTGGGAATGAATAGCCAGAGCAGAAACTCCTCCAGCTGGCTTCACCTCCAAAGGACATGTACTGCACAACTGCAGCCTCAGCCTAATGGGTGACTCATCTGACGAGACCAATAGGAATAATTACCTGGAGGTTGTGTTCCTGTCATTTTGGTCTTAATGAAGTAGTCTATGTCTGACTCTACAACGCAGTTCTCCAAGCTTACCCGAACCTCTTCATACAGCTACAAAACAGAATCCAAGAATTTAATTTAATTTTTAACATTTCACATTGAATTAACAATTAATGGTCTTCTAATACTTCTCCCATTAAGAGACAATTTATACTTAATACCTATCTGACCTGGATGGGTCTTTGGCCTGTCCCCCATACAAACATTCTTGTAAACACAATTGTTTGTTTGTGCTCTGGATATTCTTTTAAGCGAGGAGGACAAAGGCAGTCCAGGGCTTTTCAATGCAATAAAGAAATGAATAGCAGGAAACAAGCATTCAAAAGCAAAACTAGTGTACTCTTTATGTCCTCCAATTCTGAGACCATGACTGGATGCCTTTCTGAAAGTTGTGCCTGAGCCCAAATATATTTGACTGAGCGTTCTGGTAGCTGGAAGCATTCCCCAACAAACTGAGGGGAGGAGACATTTAAGTGTCAAAAAGGAGACACAGACCATCTACGTCCAGGCATATATCTGGTCTACATCTAGAGGGAACAAGCTATATTGAGAATACTCCCCCTAACTGAACATGGAGAACAGCCGGTTTGCCGGAAACAGCCAGCACGCACAGAGAAGGGCAGGCTAGTGCCGAATTGTTAGAGCACTCTTGCTCTTCCTCTTCCTCTTCTGCATGTCAAGGTATTTGGCGCGTGCCCCTACCTCGTCATCCTTCACACACTGCATGGAGAGCTGGTTGCAGTGAACCCACAGCGAGTTGCGGAGGATGGTGATGCGGTCGCACTCCTGGAGCTGGAAGACCTAAAGCCAAAGAGGAGGTGTGAGATAGCCTCATGGTAGTTATTTATTTGCATTGCAGGCAGCAACAGGGCTGGGGCTCCTCTAGGCCAAGTTCATATGTCTGCAAACCATTCTGAGGGTTCCTTTTTAAAGGATGTCTTTCAGCTACTGGAGAAACTACACAGAATCATAGAATCGTTTTGGTTGGAAAAGACCTTTAAGAGCATCGCCTCCAACTGTTAACCTAACCCTGCCAAGTCCACCACTAAACCATGTCCCTCTGCACCATGTCTACCCATCTTTTAAATACCTCCACGGATCGCAACTCCACCACGTCCCTGGGCAGCCTGTTCCAATGCTTGACGACCCTTTTGGTGAAGAAATTTTCCCTAATACCCAATCTAAACCTCCCCTGGAGCAACTTGAGGCCATTTTCTCTTGTTCTGTTGCTTGTTACTTGGGATAAAAGACCGACCCCCACCTCGCTCCAACCTCCTTTCAGGTAGTTGTAGAGAGTGATAAGGTCTCCCCTCAGCCTCCTTTTCTCCAGGCTGAACAACCCCAGTTCCCTCAGCCACTCCTCATCAGACTTGTGCTCCAGACCCCTCACCAGCTTCATTGCCCTTCTCTGGACACGCTCCAGCACCTCAATGTCTTTCTTGTCAGGAGGGGCCCAAATCTGAACACAGTACTCGAGGTGGGGCCTCACCAGTCAGCCGGCTGCTCACCAACACTCCCAGGTCCTTTTCTGTCCGGCAGCTTTCCAGCCACTCTGCCCCAAGCCTGTAGTGCTGTATGGGGTTGTTGTGAGCCAAGTGCAGGACCCGGCACTTGGCTTTGTTGAACCTCACACCATTGGTCCAGCCCGTGCAGATCCCTCTGTAGAACCATCCTACCCTCAAGCAGATCAACACTCCTGCCCAACTTGGTGGTGTCTGCAAACTTACTGAGGGTGCACTTGATCCCTTTGTCCATGTCATTGATAAAGATATTAAAGAGAACCAGCCCCAGTGCTGAGCCCTGGGGACACCACTTGTGACCAGCCACCAACTGGATTTAACTCTATTCACCACCACTCTTTGGGACCAGCCCTCCAGCCAGTTTTTTACCCAGTGGAGTATGCCATCTACTTCTTTGTGCTCAAGAGTTTGTTTTAATTGATTGCACCAAACGAAACTTATATTTTATAAATAAAAATAAAGCAGGGGAAAGGAATCAGTATCTGCATCTGACTGCTACCTCTACTGCCAAGGATTTCAGAGTCAGGGTCCTGTCTACCCATCGCATTAAAATCTTGACGTTTAACAGATCAGTAGAGAACTGGCATGAAAGGGTTGTATGTATGCTAGAAGTAGAAACCAAAAATATCCATCTCTGCCTTCTAAAATGTCTTTCCAAACTTTTCTCTTTTGAAATTCTTTGAGGTTTTCTGGAGTTGCCTTAGTTAATTTCTAAGGTTATTTTCATGGTAAAGAGAAGGCATTTTTCTTTCTTCAGAGTTTACTCCCTTCTTTCATCTGTCTCATTTTCTCATGTTGTTGCACAGCTTTGGAAGAATGAAGGAAGAAGAGAGAGGAGATGTGTGAACTGAGTTGGGGGAAGAGGCAGATAAACTCTTTCTTCAAAAACTTAAAAAAAAAAAAAAAAGATGACCCTGATCTCTAAATTGTGCTGTTATAAGTAGAACATCAATTTTTGGTTTTCTATGAGGTGTGAAAAGCTCAGATGCTTCCAGCCATCTGTTTCCATCTCCATTTGCTAGTAATTATGTCCAGAACATCACAAATGTATACAATATTCAGCATAACATTCAGTTGGGTACGCTGCCTGCCATCTAATATCTTACCATCTAAAAAAATAAGAGAGTCCATCAGGGAGTCAGCTGTCATTGGGACCAGTTTCTGAGAGAAGAAGCTTTTAAAGAGAACCTGAAGGGTGGAGAATGAGTATTTCAATAGCCACTCAGAACAAAAAGCCTATGGCTGCAGCCTAGCCCCTAAGGGGCTGCTGAAATAGCACGAGACCCAACTGGGAATTTTCCAGGTAAATGCTGTCCTGTCGGGAAATGCAGCTTATCAAAGAGGGAAGTGTAGTGACTCGGCTTGTCAAGCCCTTTGCAAAGTACAGCTGGCTGTTGTGTTAGACACATCCCTCGTGCCCCATCGGCTTGTGCGACAGACTCCTAGTGAACCTGGGCATCTCGTGCCAAGGAATGTGGCAGAGTCCCCGTGATGAAGGCTGTCCCATTGCTGCCACTTGCTAGCCAAGATTTTCAGGCTATGGATGTCCAGCACTCAGCTAGAGACCTAAGCGAGCTTGGCACTTCCAGATTCCCCACTATGCAGCCAGAAATTTGGGATCTTAAGCTGTGTTTGTACTAGTTAATAGTTTTAAATGCCTCAAAAAAATCTATCCATTCTATCTTTTGAAAGAAGGCATTAAAGATGCCCCTCCTTTAAGAATGGTTGTTTGAATTAAACAGTGGGCAGGCCACAAGCTCTGTGGGCTATTCAGAATTTAGCCATATGGGAGAAATGAAGTGGTTTGGGTTGTGGAACGCTTTGCTTGTTTGTTGGCTTTTTAAGAAGGGGGCAAATGTACATCTTGGGAAAATTAAGGCTTGGTACAATTTCTGTAGAAAGTCTGCTGTGCCAGCTGTAGGACTTTCCAGTCCTCCCAGATAGGGAATATTTAAGAGGAAGCAGAGAACTGGAAAGCTATGCGCCTAACATTTTATTTTATGTGGAAATAAAGCCTGCAACAAGTACACATAACAAAATCATGCTTTAGCAGATGGTCAAATGTATTTGAAGGATTAATATGACCAAATATGTGGCTGATTTGGATGTCAACCAGTTCCTGTAAATTGTTGTGCAAAACTTACTAGCCAAGTGCAAATCGCCTTGTCCATCCTCAGCATAGTGGAAATACAGACTTTTCCACTACGACCTTTCAATTGAAAGATTACTCCATGGCAGAGGGCAGATATTCTTGCAGGTGAATATGAAGTGCTATGCAAAATAAAGATTCTGAGGGGCACAGATATCTTTGCTCTCAGAATGCTATGGTACATACTTTTTTTAGCTTAGCCAAAAAAGCCTCTCCTGCATTACCACAAGAAGCCATTCTGGAAGCCTCTTGCAAATCATAATCTAAAGGGAATCTTTTGTTTGTTCATTTTTAATGGATTAGTTGAATTCTTCTTGTTTCAATTCTGAAATTCTTTTTTTAAACTAAGAGTGAATTTTCATGTCTACATTTCTGTTGATTTTCAACTGAAATTTCATTTTGTCACAAAGCAGTTATTTGAGAAACAATCTTATCTGGGCTGTGATAGAAGATCATCCCTAAAGCTAGTGTATTCTTATGTTAAGCTGTGGGTGAAAACTGGCAACAAATGCTTGCAAATAGGTTGTACCAGTTCATATATTGCTCCACTTCTCACAGCTCTGCGCTTATTCCTCTCCTTTATGTTTACATACATATGCTGAACAAGCAAGGACAGTGTAAGCAAGTAAGACAGCTAGTAGCTATTTCTAAATCAACTCTAGTTTTTGCAGTATTTTTGCAAATCTACTGAGATTCCACATAAAGCAAACAGCAAAACCCTTGGGATGATATCTTGGGTCTTAGACTGATATCTGCAACTAGGATAAAAAAAGAGTGCACAAATATATTGCTGCAAAAGTCAATGTTTACCTCGCAGATTTTGATATGTTCCTGTTCCCACTCTGTCCTGACCTTATCCAGCTGCTCAATGTTCTGTTTGTACACGTTCTCTGTAAACACAGACACACATAATAGAAACCCAACAGTTAGGAAAAAAATGATACAGTCTTTCTCTTTTTCCTCCTAATAGGACTTTGCTGTGGTTCTTGCACTTCAGACCTGTGGTTTGCTAGAGCATCACAAGAATGTGTGAGCTTGAAACTGGTGGGCTGTGAGGATATATGGGTTTTTTTTTTCTTTGCAACTTTACACCAGAGTAAGGATTCTCCCTGCGTGGTTTGCAGACCATCTATAAGCTTTACAGTGGGGATAATGTGTATCAGAGATGGAGAGCCTGGACCACGCTTGGGCACTGAGCATTCTGAGGCTCTTCCCGTGCTGAGGCAGTCCGGTAAGCCATGGAATTTAGTGTAAACCTTTGCACGAGCAGTGAGGGACAAGTCTGAACTCATGAACCAGCTCAGTTGTCTGCTGGCCTGTCCTTGTGGACATAGACACAAGTTTCTGGCTGGAGAATTCTACTGTCCTCATGTACAGGGAACCTCGGGACTGTGTATCTGGTTTGGGCTGGATGGGAGCAATTTGAGTGTCATTCTTTTGTGTTTTCAAACTTGCTTTAAAAGATTTTCCTTCCTGGGTGAAGTCCCTAAAGGAAGTCTTCTATAAATTCTTTAACGAAAGTAAGAAGCTTGCATTTCCACAAAAGAAAGTAAATGTAGATGCTTATCAGGTTGCCTTTTTTTAGAAGCTTCTTCATTAATCTTTGGATTGGTGACTTTGGGAAACCCGACTTCAAACACAGCCAGCCTGGGTAATTTGGATGGTGCTCTGTCAAAATCAGTGTGCTGGTAGATCTTTGCTGAGAAAAATCATAGTTCGGTTGCAAATAGGGTATCACCTGCTTCGTTTGCCGCGTCTCTGCATTGCTTGGCTTTGTTCTGACTCTGAAACAGGAAAAAAAACACCCCAAATTAATTTCTGACCATAGTTTTTGCTTCTGCCACAGTTTTGGTTTTTTTTCCTGTCTTCTCCCTTTCCCCTTCTAGGGGAAAGGCTCAAACTTGCGAACACTTCCTGGCTGTCCCACCTTTATGTACAGTTCTGTTGAATGTGTGCTGTGGAGAAGAAGGGACCCGAATTTCACAGATGCAGCTATAGGTTCACTGACTTCAAGGGAAATCTGGCAATTTACATCTTTCCGTTCAGACACGCCTGCCATAGGAGCTCAGTGCTAGCGTGATCCAGCCTGAAGCTTGTGTCTGCTGGCTGAGTTGTTTTTTCTCAAGTGTTTGATGTGCTTTTCTAATAGATATTTATAAGCAGAAATAAATGGCAGCTAGGATTCTTCATCTTCCGGGCTCCTCATGTAATACACAGATGAAAAGAACACAGCCTTTAAACTACTTTGCAAATGCCAGATTATTTCCCATAACAACTCAGAAGCCTAAAAGCAAAATTCACTCTAAGTAGAACTTCTCTTTTTTAAAAAAACCTGCAGCTTTTAACAAATGAAAATACAGCTATTATTGACAGCTCTGTACTCCCAGGTCTTTCTGCACAGATGGTGATGACAGTACATTAATGCACGGCTCTAGACATCAATATAACACATTCTTCCATTCTGTCCTTCAAGACAAGGCTCAGGTAGGGGTTCTTATGACCATATTCCTCATCACAGCTGGCGGGAAAATGTGTAGTAAGCTGGGAACATAAGCTTCATTCTTATTTGCTTCCTGGCCCAAACTGTTTGTGAGTGCTGTGCAGAATTAAACAGCTGACATGTTTCTTGTGAGATGCCTCTGTGCATTTCAAATGTGCTGGCATGTGTGTGGAAGTAATGGCAATGAAGCACCACCCTAGGATCCTTCTGCATGAAAGGAGCTGGGTCGGATTTTGATGCCATTGAAGTTGCTAAGTGTTCTGGCGTAATTTCAGTAGGGGCAGGATTTCATCCCCTCTTTAGAGCTAAGCCTTGGAGGGGTTTGTTCATCAAAGGTTAGCCATTGCTGGAAATAAAATGTAAAGTTCTGATGCTGTTTTTAGAGTCTCCATCCCCCCGCTCCTTGAGATGATTTTTGATCCTTTTTGCTTACACTGCACCGATTTTTATCGAGCCAAAGGGAGTTGGTTTATTTTGTTTTCTCCATCTGTTCCACTGTAAAATGTTCCCATTAAAAGTTAGTGAATTGTCAGCTACAAGTATCAAGACGATGCAATGAAGGACTGCAGTGCCTTAATTTCCAATGATTTATTTTTGAATTTGTAAATTTAGTTGAAATTAAACTAACCATAAGGAGAAAAATGTTGAGGAAAAATATGCATTTTAATGTAAAATACTATGCCTACTAAATGCAAGCAATCAAAAGGCAAAACTAACTGCATTGCATACTTCTGACTTGTTTCTTTTTTTATTAATAATTTTGGAGAAAAATTCAGGGTTCGTAGAGCAATTAGATCATAGCCTGGGATAAATTAATTAGGTAACTTAGTCCCTTCCCAGCCTTTCTAAAAACCCTTGACCTATCGCAGAGCAAAATCACAGTTACCAAAGGAGTTTGCGAAGGAAGATCTCCTTGGGGAGGTGGTTTGTTTTAATTTTGATTCTAAGGGGTTAATTAGAAGGGAAAGCAGCCCCTGGCATCCTGCAGAATGGGTTGTTCAATTGTATTCTCTTGTACCTTGAAAAGAAAAAAAAAACAGTTTTCTCTCTAAATAGCACTTGTCATCTATGGTACCTTTTCCGTTTGCTTTTGGTTGCCTGAAGCACTTGTCCGTTCAAAGGACTGCTCGGCTTCATCCGCCTCCTTGCACTTCTGTTCGTAGGTCTTCTTTGACTGTATTGAAATGAAATCAAATGTGAGGGTTTGGGTTAGGGAACAAGGCTGAGTTGTCTCCAGTGTGATGTTCCAGGCATTTTCTCTTTTGCAGTCAGTCTGAGGGAGCAAATGAGTGCCCAAGTTTGGGCAAGAGAAAAAATTCCCAATGACACCGTAAGGAGGTAGAACAATAGACCTGAGAAATCGGGCATAAATTGGGTCCTTTTCTTGCAGCCCTGAAATTCTTCGCTTTGTATGATTGCAGCCAGCTCCTGGCAGGGGTGGTCATGAATACACAGGCACCATTAGCACCATCGGTGCATCAGGCATCTGTCCGAGCTACAGCCTAGAGACAAAATTCAGAGCCCACATTCCCCGGGTGTCAGTGGGGATGGGTTATCGTTTCCACAGTGTGACTTAGAGCATCAGGTGGCTGAAGTCAGTGTGTTGCCTTGCCCATTGCTCCAAGCTGGGAGACAGAGCCAGCACCCGTAGGTAACAGTCTCGGTGCAGTCCTCAGAAGCAAGAGAAAACCTTATTTGCACCAAAAGACCTCCCTGTGTTAGAGGTTCACTTAGAAAAAACGCGTTTAAATAAAAATTGCTAGTATGGTTCCAGCTGTAGCACTGGGGGGTCTGCAACTACTTTTCTTAAGAGGCAATTGCCCATTGGAAACCAAAACCAGCTGCCTGCAGTTCCTGCACCTGCAGGCTTTCCAGTTGGAGACGTTTCCTCCTGTTTACAAGATTCCCTTGCCATTTTTAAAATTGTATTTACACAGACTGAAAAAATACATTAGCTCCTGGAAGTATCCTTGCTTAGAAAGAATGAAATCCTGTTTGACCTGGGGCATTGTTCGTTCCACATTAACTTTCCGAGTTAATTCTGACTCTTGAGTGGGTACATCAGGGAAGATTATCTCTCACACACACGCTTTTGCACTCTTACGCACTCACACATTCTTGACATAGGTACGTGTAATACAGATTTCACCCTGTCTCAAACTGGAGCCAGTTTGCATCAAAAAACCTGCACAAAACCTCCTTGCTTACCTCCATTGTTTTCTTATAATGGGACAACTTGCTCTTTTGCATGCGCTCCATCGCAGACTCATACTGTAAGAAACACAGAGAAGTAAGCATTTCTTGCTTTGGACTTTTCCCCCCTGCCTTTTTTTAGGGGCAGGCTTAGGAGAGCCATTGTCAGAGCTCTTCTATGAGCCACGTGCCTGTGGGGAAAATGACTTCACTCTGCTTTTATAAATGACAGGTTTCTAAGTGACACAGAGCATTGAAGTGCCAGGTAAAAAAAATAATAATCCAAGATAATTCTGCTTCAGTCGTTTCTATTAATAGCAGAGAGGATGTAAATCTTCATTTTCTTCCTCCCTATATTTTTTTTTCTTAAGGAGATTAAATAGTGTAACACCCAGTCACAGTGCCCATCAGCTCTGCCAGCAGAGTTCCTTTGCTGGTTCAAGAGCTTGATCCCACATCTTTGCAGACCGAACCACTGTCTCACCCATGTGAGCAAGGATAGTTGTCCATTTTAAATACAAACAATTCCTGTGTAATTTATATTCCATTGCTTCTGGCAAATTTATTCACAATGTGATTTGATTTCCATATTGTCATCTGGTCAGTGTTGGAAGGACAGTGCTGAATTCTCTTTTATGGCTTCAGTTGTGATACGCTGAGCCTTATGTGACAGTGAGATATGCTCTTACTTGGCAGGGTATGGGCTTCTTCAGTGGGACTTTTGGTCCTTTAATCTTTATATTCTGCTCAAGCAAAACTCTTTCCAAGGCTACCCAGAGGCTTGCTTCACATTGGGCTAAATAGCACAGTCCTGAGAGCAGCTACAGCGAAAGACAAATCACAGCGCTTTGGGAAGTTGCCAGGTAGATGCTGACACCATCTAGCATGTCTAATGTTGACTTCCTCACAGCCGCATGCTGGATGGAGAAAAAAAGCTGCTTAAGATTCCAAAGCAGTTTTTCCTTTTTTTATCCAGGCCCCTCTGTCTGTTTGCAGTTGAGTTATA